GAGAGAGAGAGAGAGAGAGAGAGAGAGAGAGAGAGAGATCTGTTGTATTTGTCTGGGGTTGCTTCCATGAGAATGGCTGAAGGGCATTGACTGAGCGTGGGCAGTTTACCGGTGGCTACACCACTGAAGAAAATTACTCCCGCCCCCTCACAGCTGTCACTCACTCCTGACTCAGGAGTGAGGCCTCCTGAGGCCGCCCTCCCCCAGCCATGAAGGGACTCTCTCCTGCCCGTTCTGAATGTGACCTTCTTTATTCAGTTTACTGATTCACATGCTAATCTCTTCCAGAAATTCTCTCACAGACACACCAGGAAATGATTTTTTTTTTTTCTGCCTTTATCTGGGCATTCCTCAGCCAAGTCAAACTGACACATAGGATTGACCATCACAACCACCATTTCCAATAAAGTAAAAGGAAATCTGCTCTCTCTCACACACACAGAAATGAAAGGATATGAAAGCTCATCAGAAAAATATAACTATGAGAAGGAGATAAATGGGGCTGGGCCTCGTGGCGTTGACCTGTAATTCCAGCTGCTCCAGAGACTGAGGCAGGAGGATCACATGGTCAAAGTCTCCCTGGGCTAGAGCGAGTTCAAGGCTAACCTGGGAAACTTAGCAAGTCTATATTACAATTTTTTTTTTAAATGAGAGTGCTGGGGGGTAGCTTAATGATGGACCACTCACTTAGCATGCAATGGCCTTTAGGTTCATACCCCACTACGAAACAGCTGAACAAACACAAAAACCCATCCGAAATCAAAATTCACTGATGGGCTTAACAGGCGAATTGAGATAACGGGAGGGAAGGGTAAATCTGAAGACAGATGCAGGGGGGGAAATCTGAATAACAGAGAAAGCAAATATTGAAAGAATTAAAGAACAGGCCCTCTGGGACACACAGAGGTAGAAAGGTCGACTGTACAACCAGGTGATCCAATTGGAGTCTCGAAAGCAAAGGGTAGAAAAGATATCTGAAGAACTAACAGCCCTAAATGTCTTAAATTTGGTACAAGACACAAATTCATAGTGAATCCCAACCCAAAATGAAATCGCACACCCGTATATTGTTAGCTTAGCAGTCCTGCCTGGTGTGTGTGTGTGTGTGTGTGTGTGTGTGTGTGTGTTTCTCCTACAGCTTCCTCCCTCCTTCTCCCAAGCAGCCCCAAGCGTCCCCAGGGAGTATGTCCTGGATCCCAGGAGTCCTAGCTCGGCCAGTCACCGCCACAGTTCTGTCAGATGTGGCAGCTGGGCTGACTGAAGTCCTTGTCACACTCTCTAGGACAAGACACGCCTCTAGCAGCGCACTGGCCCGGCTCAACCCTTTCATCTCAGCCAACAGCACACAGTTGAAAGTCACCGAAACTTAGCTCATGAAGCAATAGATAAGGGACAGTGGCACTATGTCTGCCTGGGTTGGGTTAAAAAAAAATTCCCCCAAAGTTCAGCGGCTTCAGGTGCCGCACTTTATGGTTTCAGGGTGCCTGCCAGTTAAGAGTCCAGGCTTGGCTTAATTGGATCCCCTTTCCCTCCTCCCCTCTCCTCTCCCACCTCTGCCTTTTTCCTGTCTCTTCCTCCTCCTCCTCCTCCCCCTCCTCCTCCTCTTTCTTTCTATTCTTTGGTGGCATGGTCTCTCTATGTAGTCCTGGCTGACCTGGAACTCACAGAAATCTATCTGCCCCTGCCTCCCCAGCGCTAGAATGAAAATGAGCACTGCCACTCCCAGCGAACCCCTCTCTTGTTTGGTTTTTGGAGACAGGCTTTCTCTGTGTAGCTTTGAGCCTTTCCTGGATCTCGTTCTGGTGGCCAGGCTGGCCTTGAACTCACAGAGATCCGCCTGGCTCTGCCTCCCGAGTGCTGGGATTAAAGGCGTGTGCCACCACCGCCCAGCGCGAACCCCTCTCTTAAAGTCTCACAAAACGCCAACCAAAGTTCTGGCCGAGCTGCTTCCCATCTGGAGAATGTCTGGCTGGGGGAGACCCTTCAAGCTGCTGGCAGAATGCAGTTCTTGTATTCATGGACCTTTGGCCCCTGGCTTCCCACTGGCTAGGAGCTGGAGGCTGCCCTCGGCCTCTGAAGACCACCCTCGGCCCCTGGCCACACAACCTTCCCAACATGGCCACTTGTCTTCAAAGATAATGAAGAGGGAATAACCCTCAACCCATCTACTGTTAGAATGGAGTCTTCCATGGCATAACCTGACCATGAAAGTGACATCCATCCCATCACACTTGCCAAATTATGTTGGCTGGAAGCAGGTTACAGTCTCCACTCACACCAAACAGCACCAAGGTTATACAGAAGCAGAAACAGCAAGAGGTGTGGATTATTCAGGGGGGTGGGGGGGGGAGGCATGAGACAGGTGCTCATGTAGCCCAGGCTAGCCCCAAACTCACTGCGTAGCTGAGGATACCTTGAATTCCTGATCTTCCTGCCTCTGCCTCCAGAGTACTGGGATTATAGGCAAATACCACCAAACCCAGCTCCAGACATCTGTCTCTGGGAGGCTTCTCCATTCACAAGTCTGAAGTATGTCCACCGACAGAAGTACAGACCCCAGGAGAGAAGGGAAGGGCTGGGATACAGTTAGGAAACTGTCAGAAAAGCCAAGCAGTTCCTCTGCATGGCTGCTGAGGAAATCTCTTCTTTCCCAGATCTAAGGTTTATTCGTCTGTGCCCATGGACTAAAGATGACTACCCTCGTACCTACCTGCATGGCCTCTAGAGCCTATTCTGAGCATCTGGCCACAGGCATCTGCTTCTCCCTTGCAGTTTCTTAGCAGGTACTAAATGGCTCCACGAAGCCAATGATCTGATACCTTGGTTGGATCATCAGCTTTGCCCAGTCACCTACAGCCAAAAGAAAAACAGAGTCACTTGAATAAACATGGCCCCAGAGGTCAAGCACTTGGGAATGAAGACACTTCTTAGAGACAGAAAAGGCTGGGTGGTGTGGCACTTGCCTGTAATCTAATCTCTGTTCTCAGGAGAGAAAGCTAGAAGAAGCAGGAGTTCAAGGTCATTCTCCCATACATAGTGAGTTCAAGGCCAGCCTGAGATACATGAGACCTTGTCTTGATGGAAAGGAGGTAGGGAGGAAGGAAGAGAGGGAGGGAGAGAGGAAGGGAGAAAGGAAAATTGAAGGAAGGAAGGAAAGGAGAAAGGGAAAAATTGAAGGAAGGAAGAAAGGGAGGGAGGAAAGAAGGAAGGAAGGGAGGAAGGAAGGAAGGAAGGAAGGAAGGAAGGAAGGAAGGAAGGAAGGAAGGAAGGAAGGAAGGATTCTCTGCTGTCTTCCCATGGTTTCTGGAACCCAATAAACAAAATCCCCAAACCCCATCAGGGGAGTAGATGCTCACAGCATCTTCCAGACACAGGGCCAACTTTGCTTAGCTTTAGAAATGGGAATGTTCAGTCCTCAGAGGTCAGACTGAGTGGATGGGGCCAAGTGAGAGACAAGACACTCCATCCCAGCCCAGTGTCCACCCCTCTCCAAGTCCCTAAAGCACATAGTTAGTTCCCTTTCCCAAGGACCCTAAGCAAAAGACGTTTCAAAAGCTCAATTAAATCATCAGCGCAAATAGATGCCTGGGACCCGTGCCCCAGTGTGCATCCAGGATACCCAGACAAATCGGAATTCTCTTTGGGTTCTGAAGATTTGTGACCGTAGGCAGCTGTGAGCTCAGTGTGAGATGGAACTCCAGGATCCTTGAATCTAGTGCCTGGTCTGCGGAAGCTGCTCCGTAAGTCTGAAGGTGACGGCCCATAAGGAAGGGAAAAGGAGAATTAAAAAGAAGGACAAAGAGATGGACAGAGAAGACGAATGTGTTGGTGATGCTCATGGTAGCGAATCTTGCAGAAGTCCGAAAGACCTCTCGATGCTCTTGACCTGATGACTCCAAGTGAGGTTCAGCGACCAGAAACATCAGCCCTGCAAGGGAGGGTACCAAAGATGCGGACCCTCTGGCCCCACTTACACCTCCGAATCAAACCTACACCTTAGCAAGGCCCACCCTCCACCCCCCACCAATCTCTGCTCCTGAAAAAAATCTAGAAAGCCATGCCTTAGCCCCTGGCTTCCCAAACCTGACTGCATCCTCAAATCACCTGGGAGTTAAAGCAAAACAAAACCCAACCTGATGGAATGGCGTCTCTGGCTGGCGGGCTTTTGCAAAGCCCCCTGGGTAGTTCTAATGTGCAGTAGGTTTGGAGGCCCCTGCTCCAGCTTGCTGTATCAGTTGGGATTCCATCCAGCTACGTGTAGCAGTGTCCCTGATTTAAAAAAAAAAAAAAAGTCTGGAGTCAGGCAGTCCAGAGCTCCAGAAAGTAAACAAGGGCCCAGAGTTCTTTATGCTTCCTCAACTGTAAAGTCTTGGTATGAGACTCTTGTCCTACTGTTCTCGTGGTCACAAAATGGCTTTTGTGCCCACGGACTTCTCGGCTTTATTCTAGGCAGGGAAAGTGGTGTGGAGGGGGATGGGGAAGGAACAGAGGTGAAATTCACATCCAGAGATGCACAAATAAGTCAGCTCTTCCCAAGCTTTCTTGGCCCGTCACCAAGACACTTGAGTTTATATTTCAGGGGCCAGAATGATGTCATACAGCCACCCATGGCTGCCGCGGAGACGGGAAAGCCATGTATTTTCATCTGAACCCGGGGTCATCTTGAACAAGAACTGTTTGGAGAATGGCTTCTGGTTAAGAATCCAGCAGGGCTGGAGCTCCTTGAGGCCTGGAACTCACCTTCTGGGCACCAGTTTCTGCCTTGAGGGACATTCTGGCCTCCGTGTGATCAATGTAACATCTCCCCATTCCTCCAGGAAGATTAATCACTTGTCAGAGACCAACATCTCAGCCACACCTTCCTGATCCAGTCGGCACCGGCTACGGATTCTCAGGCAGAAAGCAAGCAGCAGATCTTGCCACACCTTCCTGAGACCTGACCCAAGCACAGAGGTGTCCGTGGCTAGGTGAGGCCGTGGAGCAAGCCTAGGTAGACTATTGAAGGCTTACCCTTGGTCTGCAAGCAGTGAGCTTTAGCTGAGAGCAGTGCTTTGTGGGAACTGTGTTTTGGAGGGACTTGGAGGTTAAACGTTGACCAGTCCGGTTCTCTAAGCTCACGGGGTTGAGAAACATGTGAGAGCAAGCCCCCACACCCACCCCTGACTGGTCAGTCACAGGCTGTGAGTTCTGAGACTGCTGGGTCAGCCTCGACTGGGACCCAGCCAAGGCGCAGACTCCCTGGTCCTAGCCCTTTCCCAGACTGCTCTGCCCTTGCATCCCCCAAAGGACAGGAACCACCCAGGACTACATTTACTCTAGCAAATTATTCTGTTTTCAGATGGCTTGGGCCCAAAGCCATGTCATTTTCTGTAGTCTCCGCATATGGGAGCTAGGCCAGCAGGATGCCTGGAGACGCTGCAGGGGCTCGGGGAGAGTCTGCGGAGTTTCTTACTGGCAGTGCGGTGTCACTGCGGCTGCGCAGTGCCTCCCCTGGTGCCCCCGCCCCCTTCACCTGCTCCTCTGATTCACTTCCTATGGTGCCCAGGGGTCATGCAGGGAGAGCACCCAAGAGCAGCTCGGACGGACGAGGGCTCCAGTCACGGACTGAGAAACACAGTCAGGGATGTACTGTACCTTCCACATGCCCAGTCTGCTTCCGGGGACAGATAGTTCTTGGCTCTGCCATAAAAGGATTGACTCGGTGGTACTGGCAGACTCTGGGCCTCAGTTTCCCTAGTAGTCCATTAGCTCTAGCTGCCGCTGTTCAAGGTGGGGTGTTGTTATAGCCGCTCAGATTTTCACTTTTAGTACTTAACAATAAGCACCTGGTGGAGAACTAAGCCCTGGCTACAGCTAACAGGAGTCTTCTGTATTCCAGACTAATGCCAAGGGATGGCTATGTAGTTCCTGTTTAACCTTCACACTGTAGAGGTACAACTATTATTCCCATTTTACAGACAGGGAAACTGAGGCACAAATAGAGAAATGAGATTTTATATATATATATATAGTGGAGAAGCCAAAAGTAGTTGTCCACAATGGTTCTAAGGCTCTAACACTAGGGATCCAGGCTCCTCTGGCTTGTTGCTTTGCCTTCTGTTCCCATGGTTACCTCATGGTCTCAAAGACCTTCCCATAAGCCACTTGCCCTCTTCTGCTAATACGTCACTGGGCAGAGCTCAGCCATTTGGCCACCTCTCTCAGCAAGGGAAGCTAGGACACACTGTGTTCTGTTTGGATGATCCTCTGCCCAGCCAAACATTGGTGACTTTCTGTAATGAAGACAGTCGTGAGTGGTAAAGAGCACAGATTTCCTGTAATGCCTAAATGGCGGAGTTTAGTCATGTCCCATCACTTACCAAGTGGACATTCATCCGCCCATTTATTCACCGAGACTCGGCTTTGTGCTGGGCACAGAGTTACGATGCCAAGCTGTAGGGAGTATCGCTCCAGCCTCTAACTCTTTGAGGAAACAGCTGGAGTTCTTGAAGTCAACCCATCACCAGTACAAGTCGCAAGAACCGCTGTCCCACTTCCCCGGGAAGCTAGAACACATGTCCAGCAGCTACAGGACCGGAAGCATCAAATGATGCTTTTGGTCCCAAACCCAGCCCACCCTTCACTCCTCTGCTCTGCCTGGCTCCCGGTCACCACAGTCTGGCTTCTGAGTTCTGAAATGGACATCCCATAGCATGGACTTTGATGTGGGGCCAGGTCGGCCTAGGTGGGCTTGAACTTTGCCCTCCCGTTTCCTGTCCTCTTGACAAAAATAAGATGATAAAAAGGTGGATGGCGAGGATTGGATGACTTAAAAGAGGACTCATCTGAGCACACAGTAGGTACACAGTCAATGCTTATTGCTATAATTGTCGCCTTACTTAGTATTGTCTACAGCTGGCCCTGATGCTGCATCCCCCGCCAGCTACCCACCCCCCACGTCCCAGATTCTAGATCTACTTGGGGCAAGTGGACCCTGTGAGGCCTCCCAGATGGGAGTCGGTCCCAAGAGCCAGGGACTCAGCCTCCATCTCCTCTCTGCAGATTTTAACGAGAATGGCTTCATTGATGAGGAAGACCTTCAGAAAATCGTGCTAAGATTGCTGAACAGTGATGATGTGTCTGAGGACCTGCTGATGGACGTCACGCACCACGTGTGTATCCCGAAGTGGAAGGGTGGGGCCTGAGGGTCCAGGTGGCCACCCCAAAACTCCTGGATATCAGGCCATCTTCTTGGGAAGGGATCCAGAGTCAAGCCTGGAGAACATGGCACACCATGGGGATGGGTAGCACGTGGTGCCCTGAGAAGTGGGCACACAGTGGAGAGAACTATACCTCAGCTGTTTGCTCTTCCAATAGGAATCTTCTATTCCCCTCCCACCTGAGAGCCTCCCATCTACGTGGGTCACTGAGGGCAGCTATAGGCCTATAACAGCTTAGCATCAGGGGAACACATCACAATGTTCCCCTGCCCATGTCATTCATTAGGAGCACAGTGCCCAGATGTCCTGGTGACAAGGCATGGGCACAGCCCTAAAACCTAATATGGGGCACAGGCCCACAAGCTCTCAGGCTGTGAGAACCCCCGAGGATCTCAGGGCTGGATGGTAGCACCTCCCACCTGACTCAGGCTTCTTATAATGGGGGGTTCATGCCTATGTCCGGCGGATGGGGTCTATTGTCCTCACTGCCAAATTGGTACTGGGGGCCACTGAGGGGAATCCTTCCAAAGGAAGGCCAGCCCATGATGCCTGTCCACCCCACCTTAGTGCACACACCTTCGCCTCTCTGTGGGGCAGGGACCCTAAGACACCCTGCCCTAGTTCCTCGACACTGTCTGTCTCCATCTTGAGACCCATCTCCTGTGGACCCCAGGCTCCTCTCAGCCTCCTTCCTTCCACCAGGTCCTGAGCGAGTCAGATCTGGACAATGACAACATGCTGTCCTTCTCCGAGTTCGAACACGCAATGGCCAAATCTCCAGATTTCATGAAGTAAGGCATCCTTGAGGGTCGGGGCTGTCCAGCAAGGTTGGAGGCAGGGAAGGCTCCCGAGTCTCCCCTGGACCAATGGCACATCTCAGTCTTGCCATGGAACTTGTCATGAGTTTCCTGGGCTCTGCTGAGTCTTTCAGAAGTCATAAAACTGAAGCGTCTGAGAAATCAGCTCATCTTGGGTGAACCAAGACAGGGGACAGCAGGATTCCAGGCTTTGCAAACCATGTGTGAGGGTGTTACAACCTCAGAGACATTACCCCTGATGGCCAGGACATCTGTGCCCATCTCCCAGTACCTCCTGGGCTTCAGATCTGACCTGTGTGTTGCCCACTGTAACCCAGATACACTGGGAGCTGGGGTGGGGGCCGCAGGGGACATTGTTCAGCGCTGTAAGGGGAAAGCTGGCCAAAGAAATGTCACAAGAGAAGCGACTAATTCTACCTGAGAGCAGAAGGGACCTCAGTGACCTCTGCTCCGGACTCCCTCCAGATGACAGCCCTCTGTGTTTCCAAGGCCATAATTGCCAGTCTTCTGGTCCCTTCCAATTCAAAGCAAAGGCATCCTCTCTAGAGATGGTCCGGGCCGTGACTGGAGTCCCACGAGAAGAGGGCTTTCCTCGTGCTGAGGTGACACCCGCTGACCTGTCTTGCACACTCGCCCCTAATGCTGCCCCTTGGTCTCATAGGCAAGATGATTTTGATGATGATGATGATGAGGACTCTTGAGACGTTTACAAACCAACTCACAAAAGTTCAGGGCGGGGTTAGCAGAAAACTCAGCAGAAGCCCAGGCAGCTGCGTGTTCTTGTCTCGGTCTCTCCCTTTCCCCGACCCATCTCTACCTCCATTAGCTCTACTTCTCCACTCATCCCACACTTACCCTCCATTGCACACCAGCAACCTCTGAGTGGTGAGACACAGGGTCGTCGTGTGTCACACATGGGGTCATCGTGTGTCACGGCCTCCCGATATGTTTGATTTCGATTGAGCTTCAGTGACTTTTTTTTTTTTTTTTTTTTTTTTTTGGTTGAAGTTTACTTTAT